GGATAGAAAGAGCCCTCTCAACCCTTTTTTTTCCTGTGTAACTTCGATGTGTTTTTATACCAAAAATACGCTTTTTATCTCGCCCTCCGCGTCAGAATCAGCCCCACTTTTGCAGACGCCTATTCCAACATGGGGAACACCTTGAAGGAAATGCAAGACGTCCAAGGAGCTCTGCAATGCTACACAAGAGCCATCCAAATAAATCCTGCATTTGCCGATGCCCACAGCAACCTCGCTTCCATCCATAAGGTGAGCTTTGCGTCTCTGCTAAATCTCTTTTTTCCGGGGGGGGGGGAACGACGGGGAAATCCATTAGTTTTTACAAAGGAAAACAATTGGTGAAAGCCATCCCAAATCGAGACATGTCGCAAAAAGAAAAAGGGGAAATCAGAATTTATGCTGGAAGTGCGAGGAGGCACACCGATACATTTATGGTGGGGTTGTGGAATAGTTCAAAAATTCATGAGGAAATAAAAAAGATTCTCAGAATTAATTTAGAGAAAAAACCAGAGGCATATTTACTGAGTATAAGATGTAAACAAATACCACAAGATCGAAAGATATTATTCTTATATGCAACAGCCGCAGCAAGGCTACTCCTTGCACAAAACTGGAAAGGGAAATGTATACCCACAAAGGATGACTAGATAAAGAAATTGCATTTATAGAATTTGTTAGAGAATTGATTTATTGCTCAGATAAGCGTCCGGCACACTTCCCTGCGTAGGCCTCTGCATTCCAAAAGTCCGCATTCCGATGCTTCTGAGCATAGCAGAGTTTCAACAGCGGCAAGAGGAATGCCTGCAAAACACTCCAGTGCATTCTTCAGTGTGCTTAAATAAAGTCCACACAGGATCTTAGCAGCTAAAAGCAGTTTTATTTACAGCAGGCTATCAATTATCTATCACAGCGAACAGCATCGCGAAAACACGTCCTCTCTCCTCAAAAGCGAAAGTAGAGAGACAGAACAAAGACTTGAGTCTCTCGGAACTGACGTAGAAGTTCCCCCCTCCCACTAGTAGGCAGAGCGTATACTCTGAGCTGTTTAACCCTGTAAGCTCAGGTTCTCCTCACAGAATTGGCAAGGTTAACTGCAGTAATAAGGTACCAATCAAACCAGAAAATAGAAATACAATGGAAATGGTTTGAGGATTACATGTCCAAGTACTGCTCAAAAACTAACATGTTGATATGTTTGGATTAATGTTTGTAAAGCTGGTGAAAAAAACCAGCAAGTTAAAAGAGTTAAGAAATATAAATTTAGATTAAAATTGCAATGTGAATGTGAGTGAAGGAAGTCACATGGGTATTTGGGTAAATAGTGAGTTGGGTATAGGGTTTAGGGTTAGATGTGGGGAATCCGTATATATAGTATTATATATGTAATGTATAGTGTTGAAAATGCACGGCAATTAGCATGTAAAATGAAATCAATAATAAATAAATAGGGGGGAAAATGCAATGTGTATTATAATATATAGAAGGGTGAGGGACAGTCAAGGGAAGTCGCAAGGGTGTTTTAATGTCTGTAATTTATGGTGGTAGGGTAATATAATTTTTGTATTATTGTGTTTATGTGTTTGTAAATAAAATTTAAAAAAAGAAAAAAGGGGAAAAAATTGTACTTTTCAGTGTCAGGCGGGGTTTTATTACTCCAAATTAAAGTAAAAAATGGGGGGGGTCGTCTTATACGGGTGATTGGGTGAGTGAAAGGCTTGTTTTCTTAAATTTGAGCCCCCCGAAATAGAGGGCATCTTATACAGGCAGGAAAGCATGGCAGATTCCTACACCCAAAAATCACATTGTGACTTCCGATCACCCCAATGCGATCCCTATGTCATGTTTCCGATGGTGCCCTTTCGCTCGTCTCTCCTAGATCTCAAATGCATTGCATTTGTCCTATTTCCTGCTGTCCTTCGTCAATCCACACCCGCCGAAGAATTTAAATTTTTCCAGCCGCCTTTTAGACCAGGCATGTCGCAAGCCTTGCCCAGGGGCCTAATCCAGTTTACTTACTGGGGCAAAGCTCAACAACTTCGGGGTAAAATTGCCCCCAAAAGGTCAACAACGCAGTATATGCCCTGGGGTAAAAATCTAAAAAAAAAAAGCTCAACAAGTTTGGGATTAAATCCTAAAGAAATCTCAACAACTTCAATCCTAGAAAAAAAAGCTCATCATCTTTGGGGTTAAATCTTGCCGATCGATTTAATCTGGCTTCCTGGGGTAAAATCCTAAAAAAAAGCTCAGCAACTTTGGGGTAAATTGTAAAAAAAGCTAATCAAATCTGGCCCCCTTTGGGAAAAATTTGGGCACCCCTGTTTTAGACAATACTCTGCAAGTGTCCTGTTCGCTATGAAATGTTTGTTCTGAAACCTTTCATAATTCTGCCTGTAGGGCAGCTGGAGGGCTGAGTTCGCCTATGGCAGGCACCCCAAAACTGGGGCCTCCAGATGTTTTGGACTACAATTCCCATCATCCCAGATCACTGGTCCTGCTAGCTAGGGATCATGGGAGTTGTAGGACAAAACATATGGGGGGGGGGGTCGCAGGTTGGGGATGCCTGTCTTGAGTTCATTAGGTATGCTATCCCAAAATTCTCTTTATTTTTTTTACATGTCCACCCGGCGTGGGTCATTGTACCAGTCGTCTCTGCTTCATCTTTGGTTTTACTGGTTGAGACAAAAAGCAGGTGGCAATTGCTAAAATATCCCTCCCCTCCCTTTCTAGGATTCCGGAAATATCCCAGAGGCAATTGCTTCATATCGCACTGCCCTGAAACTGAAGCCGGACTTTCCCGATGCTTACTGCAACTTGGCGCACTGTTTGCAGGTGAGGAGGGCTTTTTCACCAATATAAGGGCTAACACTTCTGGGGTTTCCAGCGTTTGGGAACCGAAGCGTTTAAGTCCCAAGGTACCACAGTAGTGGTAAGGAATTGTCCAGTAGCACCTTAGAGACCAACTCGGTTTGTTCTGGGTCAAAGCTTTTGTGTGCAGGCACTCTTCTTCAGGTACACAGAAACAGAAGTCACCAGATCCTGATATATAGTGGGAGGGTGGAGTCAGGTATTTCTCAGAAGGGTAGGAGGAGATGCCTTGTGGGGGTCAGGTGGGATTGCTATGAGGAATTATGAAAAATGAAGCAAGCTATTGTGTCTGCAATGAAAGCATTGTGTTGACTGGGTTTGAGTCATTGACAATAATTTCTGATCAAATCCCATAAGCCTCTGCATCTCTGCCCATCTTCTTTACTGTTCATTTTCTACGCCTGACAGGCATGTATAAGCATTCTAAAACACAGGCCAGTTGCTTCACCAGGCATCCTGGGTCATAAAGATAGAAGGTAGCTTTGATGTAGCAGATGATTAGCATATGTAATGATTAGCATATGTAATGTTTTTGAAATTCTTTTGTAAGAAGACAGCTGCTTGGAGATCCTGTATTGAATATCCTGGGAGACTGAAGTGTTCTCCTACTGGCTTCTCTGTCTTGCGATTCCTGATGTCAGATTTATGCCCATTTATCCTCCCAGGACATTCAATGCAGGATCTCCAAGCAGCTGTCAGAAACAGACTTGAAAGAGAAGTTGCTGAATTACAACTTATTACTCAACTGAAAAGGATGGAGAGACCTGGTCTGAATAGAGATACTGGATTCCTGTCTCATTACATGTGCTAACCATCTGCATACTATCCCTTGCTTTTTCCTGTAGGACTAATTGCAGTCATTCACAGTCGCCCACAGGTTGACCAAACCCATTGAGTCCTACTACCCTTCGGAGAAAAACCCTACCCTCCCTCTATATATCAGGGTCTGGTGACTTCTCCTCCCACTGTATATCAGGGTCTGGGGACTTCTGTTTCAGTGTATATGAAGAAGTCTGCCTGCGCACGACAGCCAAGTGTTATTATCATTAAATACAAGGATTAAGAAGGTGTCAATCATGGAGGCACAGGTCTGTAATCCTTTTTTACCGAAAGGTTCAGCCTTGCTGGCATCCTCTCAATATGGACAAGCAGAGGAAGGTTTCCTTTTGGGAACAGTAAAATCACCCGTCTCCTACTACCCTTCTGAGAAATACCCCACCCCACCCTCCCACCTATACATAAGGGTCTGGTGACTTCTGTTTCAGTGTATCTGAAGAAGTATGCATGCACACGAAAACTTATACCAAGAACAAACTGAGTTGGTCTCTAAGGTGCTACTGGACATTTTTTTTATTTTTTTATATATTTCGACTGTGTCAGACGAACACGGCTACCTACCTGAATCTAAAACATAACTCAGGGTTTTCTTTGCCTCCTCTCAGATCGTTTGCGATTGGACCGATTATGACGAGAGAATGAAGAAGCTTGTCAGTATTGTGGCTGACCAGCTGGAGAAGAACCGACTCCCTTCGGTGCACCCCCATCACAGCATGCTTTATCCGCTATCTCACGGCTTCCGAAAGGCTATTGCTGAGAGACATGGGAACCTCTGCCTGGACAAGGTGGGTCTGTGCCAGGCATGGCCCAACTTGGCCCTCCAGCTGTTTTGGGACTACAGTGCCCATCATCCCTGACCACTGGTGCTGTGAGCTACGGATGGTGGGAGTTGTGGTCCCAAAAGAGCTGGAGGGCCAAGTTGGGCCATGCCTGATCTAGAGCAGTGGTGGCCAAACTTGGCCCTCTAGCTGTTTGGGGACTACAATTCCCATCATCCCTGACTGCTGGTCCTGTTAGGTAGGGCCTCCCACATCTTTGAATAATAATATTCAAAGAAAAAAAAGTTATTATTATTACATGTCGTTTCTGTAACATGGCTTCCTTGAATCCCCCTGCCAGATCAACGTCCTCCACAAGCCGCCCTACGAACACTCCAAGGACTTGAAAGCCAGCGAGGGCCGGCTCCGTGTGGGGTACGTCAGTTCTGACTTCGGCAACCACCCCACCTCCCATCTCATGCAGTCCATCCCAGGCATGCACAATTCGGACAAATTCGAGGTGAGGTGCACAAGAGGGTGGCCGTGCGAGTAGCTCAGGCGGCAGAGCGCCGAGACTCTGAATCTCAGGGTCGCGGGTTCGAGCCCCACGTTGGGCCAAACGAACAAACGAATCTTCATCTGTGTCAGCCCTCGGCTGTAGCAATAAAACAAGACGATCTGCAAAGAATAGAACTGAAAAGTCGACAATATCAAATACATTTGAGGGTTTTGAATCGAGAGTGGGTTTTATTCTGACTGCCCCAGCTCAAAACCTGGCCACGTTTGTAAGTACCGTATTTTTCGCTCTATAAGACGCACCAGACCACAAGATGCACCTAGTCTTTGGAGGAGGGAAACAAGAAAAAAAATATTCTGAATCTCAGAAGCCAGAACAGCAAGAGGGATCGCTACGCAGTGAAAGCAGCAATCCCTCTTGCTGTTCTGGCTTCTGGGGTAGCTGTGCAGCCTGCATTCACTCCATAAGACGCACACACATTTTCCCTTACTTTTTAGGAGGGGAAAAGTGTGTCTTATGGAGCGAAAAATACGGTATGTACCGGGAGAGCCTTTGAGGGTCAGAGTCCTCAAGCAGCTCCATGACAACCCTACAGCTGGGCACTTTGGGCAACACAAGACCATGTTGTTTGTTGCGGGGGATTTCTGGTGGCCCAAGGTAAGGGAGGATGCGCGGGAATATGTACGAGGATGCGACACGTGTCAGAGAGCAAAGAGGGAAAGGGCGGCTCCGGCGGGGCTTACCCACACCGGGGAGACCATGGGAGGCAGTGTCCATAGACTTCATGACGGACCTGCCCATGTCCCGAGGTAAGACGGCTGTCATGGTGGTGGTGGACCTGCTGACCAAGATGTGTCACTTTGTGGCATGCTCCCATGCTGTGACAGCTGAGGAAACAGCCATGTTCCTGGATCACATCTTTTGGCTGCATGAAAAGGCCTTGCCCTGGTTGAGGCCAGTTGAACATCCCCGAGGCCTGTGACCTCCAAGATATTATTATTTGCGGACCGTAAGGTCCTCTGCGGGTCATGCCAGGAGAGGTGGTCCTGCAGGTACGAGGGGCCTTGGCTATATAGGGCTTTAAAGGTTAAAACCAGCTCCTTGAAACTGACCCTGTACTACACTGGGAGCCAGTGCCGCTGGTATAGCATTGGACAAATGTGATCCCACGGTGAGGACCCCGTAAGGAGTCTCGCCACGGCATTCTGCACCTGCTGGAGTTTCTGGGTCAGTTTCAAGGGCAGCCCCGCATAGAGCAAGTTACAATAATCGAGCCAGGAGGTGACCACCACATGGATCACCATGGTGAGATCAGGGCAAGAGAAGGCAGGGACCAGCTGCTTAGAGCAGCAAAGGTGGGAAAATGCCGCCTTTGCTGTAGCTGTAACCTATGTCTCCATAGAGAGGGAGGCGTCGAAGGTTACACTCAAACTCCTGACGGAAGGCGCTGGCACTAATTGCGCCCCTGCAAGAGATGGGAATTGGCCCCCCAGCCCCATGTCGTCCCAGCCCAACCAGAGGACCTCTGTTTTCGAAGGATTTCACTTCAACTAGCTCCCGCACAACCATCCAGCCACAGCTTTCAAGCCTCTGGTCAGTGTGTCCGGGGCCGAGTCAGGATGGCCGTCCATCAACGGATGAAGCTGGGTGTCATCAGCATATTGATGATAGCCCTGCCCAAAATTCCAGACATGCTGGGCAAGGGGCGCATAAAAATGTTTAAAAGCATTGGGGAGAGGATTGTGCCCTGCGGAACTCCACACACCAAGGGGTGCCGTGACGACAACTCCTCCCCTAGCGCAATCCACTGTCCCCGACCTGAAAGGAAAGAGTGCAGCCATTGTAAGACTGTGACCTGAATCTCCACGTCCTTTGCTGTCACCTGCTTCTCTTGATCTGCCAAGAGAGAGGACGCTGGGGCAGTGGTTGGGTGACCCGGAACGGGCAATAAAAGAGGGGTGATAATCTCACTCCTCAAGTCTTTTTATAAAGGGCATGTGCCACTGATTTGGTGCTGCCATCTCTGCAGGGACATGAGCGTTTTTTGGGTGGAATCTGTTGGAATCGTCCCTCGAGTCCAGCCAAGGGCGAGACATTTTAATCTTGCGATGGTCAAAGCACGTCTACATTTTGGGATCGCTCAGTTATGCAGATCGGGTGCCGGACAGTTGAAATGGGAAGGGGGGAGAGAGTCATACCACGGGCGAAATTTCCTGATGGCAGCCAAGTTGTTCTGACGCTTGAGATCATTTAGGCACTGACAGATTAGACCAGGCACCCCCAACCTTTGGCCCTCCAGATGTTTTGGACTATAGTTCCCATCATCCCTGACCACTGGTCCTGTTAGCTAGGGATCATGGGAGTTGTAGGCCAAAGCATCTGGAGAGCTGCAGGTTGGGGATGCCTGGATTAGACTGCTTGACTGTTTTAAGATGTATTTTAATTAATTGATTGCCTGTTTCTATGTTCTTTGTATACCGTGTTAGTTTTATCATGTTAGCTGCCCTGAGCCCGGCTCCGGCCAGGGAGGGTGGGGTACAAATATGAAATTATTATTATTATTAAAACCCAAAATCAGTAGCTGTTGTGGGGATAAGCCACAAGAGGGAAGCTCTTGGGCAAAAGATTCCCGCATTGCAGGGGGTCATACTAGATGAGCCTCATTGCCCTTTCCAACTCCCCAGTTCTACAATTCTCTGTCAGCGATTGCTTCATCTTGGAGGAAAGCTGTGATGGTTTATGCGCTTCGCAAATTCTGGCGTTTTCCTGCAGCGTTTGGGAAAGATGGGCTTTGTCCGATGTCCCCCCCCTCCCGTGTTTTGTCGCTTCTCACGTGCTCCCTGCTCAAATGACCCTCAAATGTATTTTATACAATGGACTTTTAATTTCCATTCTTTGTATATTGTATTGTTTTATTGCAATTGCCAACGCAAATAAAGATTAATTCATTCATTCAGTGACTGGTCAGCCTCAGTTCTAAGCATCTCCTCTCTTTCCCAGGTCTTCTGCTATGCCCTCAGCCCTGACGACGGCACAAACTTCCGGGTCAAGGTGATGGCTGAAGCAAATCACTTTATTGACTTATCTCAGGTGAGAGCTCTTCCCCCCTATATATCCTAAATAACACTCTTGCCCGGGCAACCTTTTCCAGAAGATACTTGTCATTTCGAGGAGTTTAGCGATCTTAAATAATAATAATAATAATAATAATAATAATAATAATAATATTTTATTTATACCCTGCCCTCCCCTGCCGAGACCAGGCTCAGGGCGGCTAACATCAATTATCAAATACATTAAAACACAAAATCAAACAATTGGTTTAAAATACAATTCTAATCACATTTAAAATCAAAATAAAACTCAGAGATACGGTCATCTCTTCCTGCCTCTGTTTACTTCCCTTCTCTATCTCTTGCTAAAGCTCTTTGATGGCCGAGAACAGGCTTTTAATGCATAATCTGGCAGAAGGAAGAAGCGCTAATATTGTGTACTTTCTGTTCTTGGATGCTAGACGTTGTTAGGAGGAATGTGCGGTATCGGAAGAGGGGGCTAAATAATGAATAATCGGCACTAGCAGATTCTTCAGGTATCTGAAGAAGTGTGCATGCACACGAAAGCTTATACCAAGAACAAACTTAGTTGTTCTCTAAGGTGCTACTGGATAATTAATATATTTCGACTGCACTAGCTAGTGAGGCAAACCATCCAGGCTAGCGATCAATAATCTATAAATCAGATTTTGGGGCAGAGCTTGGAAACTCATGTCTGAACTCATGGCTGAAGGGTCGTGCAACATGGAGTGGGGTGGTGGTGGTCACTTTGCTGCTTCTCGGGAGCTTTCCAGTGGCTGGTTGAAGTTCTTGCTTGGTAATATATATATAACGGTAGATTTGATTTATTTTTATTTTTTAAAAAAAATATTTATTAGAATTTTACAATAAACATAGGTTTAAAAAAATTAAGAAAATTAAACCAAAGATTACACATAAACAGAAAAAGAAAAAAGATAACAAGGCTAATACCAATAAAACAAGAACCTAAGATAATACCAAAAAAAACCAAGGACCTATAAGAGAAAAAGGAAAATACAAAATACAAAAAACAGATGGCTTAAAAAGAAGGGGAAAAAAATTAAAAAGAAAAAATCCATTTTTCAATATCTTTAGGCTCATTTACTTATTTCCTTGACCTCCTCACACCTCCCCTTTTTGTATTCCCGTTTACAAAATCCTTTCAGCAAATCCTTACCCTCTTTCATTTATCTTTACTCTATATCTTAACCTATTATAACTATATATTTTCATCCATATAACAATCTATATTTGCATATTCTTATTAACCTTATTACCAAAACCACTTATTTCCATTCCAACATCATTTTAACATTCATTAATTTTACAGTATTTCTGCAAATAGTCTTTAAATTTCTTCCAATCTTCTTCCACCGACTCTTCTCCCTGGTCACGGATTCTGCCAATCATTTCCGCCAATTCCATATAGTCCATCACCTTCATCTGCCACTCTTCCAGGGTGGGTAAATCTTGTGTCTTCCAATACTTTGCAATAAGTATTCTTGCTGCTTGAGACAGGATTGAATGTGGTAAAGAAAGTGAAATACTTGGGGATTAATATGACAGCCAAAAATGGGAACTTATTTAAAGATAATTACGAAAAATGTTGGATGGAAGTGAAAAAAGATTTAGAAATTTGGTCAAATTTGAAACTCTCGTTGCTGGGCCGTATTGCTGTGATAAAGATGAATGTATTGCCTAGAATGTTGTTTTTGTTTCAGACATTACAAATTGTAGATAAGATGGACTGTTTCAAGAAGTGGCAGAGAGATATTTCTAGATTTGTCTGGCAGGGCAAGAAGCCCAGAATAAAATTCAAGATATTAACTGATGCCAAGGAAAGAGGTGGATTTGCCCTGCCAGACCTTAAACTTTATTATGAATCAGCAGCTTTTTGCTGGCTGAAAGAATGGCTACTTCTTGAAAACACAGACATTTTGGATTTAGAAGGTTTTAACAATGTATTTGGATGGCATGCATATTTATGGTATGATAAGGTCAAAGCACACAAAGCATTCAAAAACCA